AACTGCCAAAAATACTGATTTAGATTTTTAGAAATCAGCTTTATTGAGGTATCCTTTATATGCAATAAAACTCCCCCAATTTTAGAATTAAAACAAACAAACAAACAGGCACAGTTTTAAGCATTTCATGTTAAGTTTTAAAACTTTGAGGGTTTTCTCGCAGACCCTGTGAGGCAGGTGTCCTTACTGTTCACATTCTCGTAAACCAGAAGAGGGATTTTGGAGATCTCAGCAAACACCCACCTACTTATGTGGGTTCCAGAGTCAGACACTTGGAGGGGTTGTCGGGTCTCCCAATTGAATAGTAGTAAAATCTGGATAGGGATTTACTATGAATGGCAGGAATGGAAGTAGAGCCTCTATGAAGAGAATCTGGCAGTAGAAGGTGGTAGAATTTTTTGCAACAGATTAATTTCTTAAGGCATCTCATAATGCAAGACTAATTTCCCAAAGCAATGAACATGAAATAAGAGGGAATGTATTCCCAATACACCTAAATATGCAACTGTCATAACAGTCTACACATTTTTTTTCAGCATTCTCTCTTAAGATTTCATAGCGTAATGCTTGAGAGCATAGACAGTGGAGTCAGACTTCCTAGTTTCAAATCTCATCTCCTCTCTCCTCTTCTAGGACTGCCTTTCACTTGCCCTGACCTGGAGAAATTACTTAAGCGACCTGTGTCTCAGTTTCCTTATCTTATCTTCTCTCGTCTGTAAAGTGAAGACAATGACGACAGTAGGGGTATTATGAGAATTAAGTGAGTTAATACTTACAGAGCACTTAGAATGGTGCCTGGTACCCAGAAAGTGCTATTAAGTATTTGTTAAACTAAAAATTATTAACTGTGTTTCAGAGAAGGATTTCTTAAATTAACAGCATGGCAGATCATGAATTTCTTTCTTTCAAAAACCTTTTTCTAACATTTCATCACATCTAAATTCGGTTGCAAAGTTATCGATATTTTTGGATACATTTCCAGCAGTAGTGTTGGCACCCTCTCTTAGGTGGAAGACCTTGTTTTAGGATACAGAAAATACTCTTCTGAGTCATAACGGTGAACAACACTGTAATCACTAAAATCACTTATGGGTTCACAAACGTAGATTTGGGTAAAAGCAGTCACACATTAAAGACTGTGACCATATTTATATGATTTCATTTATGCTAAAGACAAAAACTAATCTTTTCTATAAGAAGTCAGGATGGTGGTTGCCCTCGGAGGGGAGCAGGATGACTGGAAGGAGGTACGAGGTGGCTTCCAGATGCTGATAATGTTCTGTTTCTTCATCAGGATGCTGGTTTCACAGTTCCTTAGCCTGCAAGTTTGTCCAGCTTGTGGAAATTCATGGAGTTGTACACATATGCTGCGTGTGTGTCTCTCTCTCTGTTATGCATATATATTATTCAGTGTTATTCTTTATTTATATGAATTTTTGATATTTTTAAGTAACAGTATGTTCATTAGTTTGCTAGGGCTGCCATGACAAAGTACCACAGACTGGCTCAAACAACAGATTTCATGCAATTTCTTTCTTTCTTTGTCGCTGAATCACTAATCCATTCAACTAAGAAGCCATTACATGTACTAGGTGGGCCATTCAGGGTCCATGTACAGTAAATTCTAAGGGGTAATCTACTAGCCATATACAGACAGATTATATAAAGAAGCAAAGATTTTATAAAGAATGCAAGTGATGCCATAAAACAACGCAGGATTCACACCCAGAAGAGTTGTGCAGATCTTAAGTAATTTTGGTGACTGCTTTCTATGGCGTAATGAACGTTTGGTGGCATGGAAGGGACCACATGCCAATACGGATTGAATAAATCCGACAATAACCTTTAAGGGTTGCGCTGACCACATGCTGGGTCAGCTGAGCTCAACTTGGAGAAGGGGAAGGGTCTGGCGCTTATTACACAGGCATTGTGGCTGGATGCTCCACATTTGCTAGTTCATAGAGTCTCATGACAGGAGGAGGGGGTAGTCAGGTTGGGCTTCCCCTGGAAGCAAAGTCTGAGACACAGGTGAACAAGCGCTGTGGAAAGGTAGGTCAGGTAGCAGGACTGATCAGGAGGCCTAGTCAGGCTGGGAT